CTTCCCACCATAATGAAACTTCTTGCAACTGACTCGGACTTATGCCTCTAGATAGCAGATCAGCGGGATTATCTGCAGTTGATACGTGGCTCCAAGAATTTGAATCGCTTAAAGATTGAATAGCCGCTACTCTATTGGCGACAAAGGTGTTTAAGCGATTTGGCTCTAATTGAAGCCAAGCCAAAACAATAGTTGAATCTGTCCAATATCGAACAGTTGCTAACTTTACATCCAACGATTCTATTGCCTTTTTTGCGAGTTCGGCAGACACTAATGCCGCGCTGAGTTCTAATCTAGGTATGGTCAAAATTTTTATAGGTGCCACCTTTGTTTTTGAACATAACAGTTTAACCTGCACATTGCCTTCGTTATCTACAGATTTAATGTAAAGACATGCGCCGTAAGCATTTTGGCTTGCATCAGAAAAGCAATGCAATTCGACTACTTTTGGTTTCGAAATAATAACGCGTCGCGGAATTTGAATGTTATTTACATAAGGTAATTGATTATAAAGCTTTAACCAATGCGTTTGGAGAGCTTGAGGAAGCGATTCGTCCCAAGTGGCTTTCGATTGCCATAATTGTTGCATAAAAATTTTGAACTGAATGACGACAGGTGACAATAGTCCCAATGGATCAAAAATCTGTGCTATACATGAAAGTATTTTTCGCTTTGTTAAATTACTAACACAATCAAGGCTAATTGAGAATTCAAACGCGTCGTCTTTGGGATTCCACCATAAACCTAAGGTTTTTGTTTTTTCATTTTCACCGATTTGTAATATTTTTAATTCTGAATCACGCTTAATGAATTGTAGGGCCTGGGGTTCATTTGAAACCCACTTTCTAAGCTCGAAACATCCAGATGATAAAATTTCAGAAATTTGTCCTATATACTCTATCGCCTCGTCTAATGTATCGCAACCCGATAAAAAATCATCAACATAAAAATCCCGTAGGATGGCTTGAGAGGCTTGAGGATAGATGTATTTATGATCATGGGCTGTCTGCTGCAAAGATCTTATCGCAAGAAAAGAACCAGATGCTGTGCCATAAGTGACTGTGTTTAAATTATATATTTTTAACGGTTCATTAGAATTCTGGCGCCATAAAATGGATTGAAGTGATCTGTGTTCAGGAGAAACGAGAATTTGCCTGTACATTTTTGTTACATCGGCAGTAACGGCAACGTTGTATTTGCGAAAGCGAGATACAATAGAAAAAAGGTCTTGTTGGATAACGGGACCTATGGCTTGAATATCATTAAGAGATATGCCTGTCGTGGTTTTTGAGGATGCATCAAATACAACTCTTGTTTTGGAGCTTAGACTGTGAATTTTAATTACCGCATGATGCGGAAGGAAATAATGTGAATGAGTAGCGGATGTACGATTATTGTCTAAACTCATGTGATTTAACTCAATATATTCATTTATAAATGAAGTATAAGACTCTTTTAATTCAGCATTTGAATTAAATTTGCGCTCAAGAGCATAAAAGCGTTTCCTTGCGTTTTCGTAAGAATTTCCCAATATTTTAGGATCACGTTTAAAAGGAATGTTTACTATAAATCGACCATCTGCATCGCGTCTTGTGTGTTCTACAAAATGTTCTTCGCAGAAGTTTTCTTCCTTGGACATTGTAGCCGATGTAGGCATTGAAATATTTTCAATTTCCCAGAATTGGGACAAGTTATAAGCTAAGTCGTTCGAAAAATTACATTGAGATGCAGATTGATTTATTATATGACTGGGAAGCTGTAGAGGTCCGGAAACGACCCACCCAAAGAGGGTTTTTTGTAATATTGGCCTTCCTGCCCCTAATGAGATTTGACCAACCGACAATATGTTAAAAAAGTTACCAGCCCCGATTAATATATCGATAGGGCCTGGTCGGGTAAACGTAGGATCAGCCAAAATCACATTTGGCAATGTAAGATTTACATTGTTTAATGATATAGAAGGAAGTTGGTCTGATATTTTTGGAATAACTAGGCAAGAGAGATCTAGTGCGAAATTGTTATGCCGAGCCATTAATTGAATCTTTGTTTGGTAATTTATTTGAGTAGAGGCCGAATTTAAACCGCTAACCCTGTGATTAATTTCCGATTTTGACAGGTGCATCTTATTACACAATTCTTGGGTTATAAAATTAGACTGAGAGCCGCTGTCCAATAAGGCTCTGCATTCATGCGTGTTACCAAATTTATCACGTAATTTAACCAAAATCGTAGAAAGTAATACATGCGTATTTGTTTGAACATTGAAAGCTTGATGAAATGAATTACTAGTGTTTGTTGTAACTAAATTCGAGGTAGGTCCATGATTGGCACTACTTGATTCTGGATTGATGTCATTTAAATTACGTGTACCTGTTCGATCTGTGTGTAAACAAGTATTGTGCCTGCGACCACATTTTCTACAGTTACTAGATTTACAATCGATAGATTTATGACCTGGCTTAAGGCAATTAATACAAAGCCCCTTAGCTTTGACAAACTCCAGGCGATTTGCTGGCGCCAAATGTATTAGTTCTTTACAATTGTAAGTAGGATGAGTGCCCTTACAGATGGTACATGTTGTATTTGAGACGTAAAAATTCTTAGAGGTAGTTTTAATGGATTTAAAGTTATTTTTATTAGGGGTAGATTTATGACCTAAAGAATCTAGCAAATCGCACTTGTTGAGTAAGAATGTTTTTAAGTCATTAATTGTCGTTGATGGACGCTCTGCTTTGTATTCTTCCCAAGCCCTAAATGTTTTTTCATCGAATTTACGCGAAATGAGATAGACTACTAATGTGTCCCAGTGTTCAGTAGGCTGACCTAATAATTTTAACGCACGCAGATTTTTATTCATGCCATCAAGAACCTTTCTTAATAAATAGGCTGATTCATTTTGAGGAGGTTGCAAATTACAAAGAGCTTCTACGTGTGAATCAATGAGACGCCTATTATTATTAAAGCGATCGCAGATTAAATCCCAAGCTAGGGTATAATTATCAGCTGTAAACGCTATACCTTCTATTATCTCTTTAGGCGTTTTTAAAACTGATGATTTTAAATAGTGGAATTTTTCAATGGGATCTAGTTTAGAATTATTATTAATTAATGAGTTAAAGGTTTCACGATACTCTAACCAGTCTAGCAAAGTACCGTCGAATATAGGCAATGGAATCGTTGGCAATTTTAAAAAACTTGACCGCGTACTACTTAGATCAAATACGTTTGAGCCCGGCGGTTCGTTGCTACTGCTATCACTAGGTAAAATTTGTTTGGGACTATGTACGAGAACGATTTCTTGTGATCGGCTATATAAATCAAGGTAAGTGCTATCGATATCGGCTCGGTACGCATATTGCTCGGGGAGGTTATCGTCCCCAATTACTAATTGCTCAATTTCATCCTGAATTTGTTCAAACTCAGAAAATGCCGTTGTTATGCGCTTTAATGTTTCTTTAACAGCGGCTATAGTGCCTTCCGATAACGCGATGCTACCTGTATCAGTAGCAGTAGAAATTCTATTTTTCAGTTCATCTTCCACTGATTTTAAATATTTCGAAAAGTTCGTAAATTTGGTTTTGAGACTACCGCGTTTTCGCGTTAAGTTACTTAACTCTGACATGTTGATTGCGAATCAATATTGACTTATATAAAGGAAAATAGTATGTAAAGGAAGGTACTCACTTTCTGACTCGTATGGGATATCCTATACGACGATGATGTTTTATTCCAATGCGTATGTGTAGATGCAGTGCTGCACTTAGCACTCGATGTGTATGATATATTTCACGTATTATATGAAATGAATGTACGCTGCAATTAGCACTCGATGTGTATGATGTATTCCACGTATGATGCGAAATGAATGTACGCTGCACTTAGCACTCGATATGTATGATGTATTCCACGTATGATACGAAATGAATGTACGCTGCACTTAGCGCTCGATGTATGATGTATTCCACGTTTGATACGAAATGAATGTACGCTGCACTTAGCGCTCGATGTTTATGATGTATTTTACGTATTATTTGAAATTAATGTTCGCTGCACTTAAAACTCGTTGTGTATGTATGCGAAGTTTGCTTTGGATATGTATATATCCGGTTCGAAGGACCAATGTAAAGTTGTTTGTTTTGTGATGCTTAGTAGAAAGGAATTGAACACGAAGTATGTAAAACTTAACTCTTTATTCAGTTAACTGCTGAATAATACAATGACTTAAATGGTAGCTTAATTATTTAACAATATTCCTTTCTAGAGCGGCTGTACTAGCCTGACTAACTATTTTAAAAGAAATCATCCCTTGGTAAGCCCTTGGGGGAGGAGCTTTAAGTGGCGCATGCCGCTTGAGGCGCTTAAGGCACTTATATTGAAAATTTACAAACAGTAATAATTTGGTTATTTCAACAACCATGGTTGTTGAAATAACCAAATTATTTCTTTATTTTAATGCATTAGAAAGTTCAAGTGCTTGTTGTTTATTAACACATGAACATAAACATAGACCACAGATTAAATATACTTTTCTTTTTGTACTTAATACACAGTTAATACAATAATTGTGGACCACCCTAATCAGTGGCGTGCCCAGAAATATTGTATGGGGGGTTAGTTTATGAAAAAAAATATTTCTTCACTTTTTTGTTTAACCGCAACCCCCCTGCATGGGCACGCCACTGTCCCTAATATAAATAGTTTGTGGATGTATTTCTGGCACTATAAATTTCAAATCGATTTGAACTAATAAATAAAGATGTTATTGGTTGGTTTTACAGTTGTACAATAAATTTGCTTTAACCTAGATTTCTCGCCACAAATTTACTGAAAATACTAATAAAAACAAATATACGATGCATGGTTTTTATATTTTCTTTTACCAATTTTGTATCCCTAAAAGTATTGAAATATTATAATTAATATTAAAAAATCTATTTATTCCTCTTTAATTATTTTTCTTTGGATTGGATAACGTCTAATTTTTTTAAAATTGGTTTCAGGTTGGAGGCCACACTAGACTAATGGTACTGAACCCCAGCACAATATGCAAGCCCCTCAACTATAGAGAACTCGATTTCTACCAGAACATTCAAGATCAAGAGATTAAAACATTTGTACCTAAATATAAAGGTAAGCTGAGTAGCATAAGGCCAAAAAAAAGTGACTCAAGCAAAAGACTCTAGTAATCTAGCAAAAAGTGTTGGGATATCTACATGTATTTTTGTTATCCATGTGTTATCAGATACTGTGTCATCAACTATTTTACTCTTATCTGTGATATTTTTGCATTATCTGGTGATATGTGATAGATTTGTATTTTGTATTTTTGTTGTAAAAGGGACCAAAGAAAAATAAATATTCATGTTTTATGATGCATGAGACATAATTTGCTGTAAAAATACATCAAAACATGACCATCTTAACCCAATCCCATTCATGTTTTGTTTTATTTTTTTTATTCAAATTTACGCAACTAAATCCATTTTTAGTGTGATATTATTACGCTTACTGATTTCTTAACATAAATGTTGGTATACATTTGTTAAATTATTAAATAAACTTTAAACGTGTTCTATTTTATTTTTAATACAAATTTTTTTACTATATTTATCTTGAATGAAAGGGGTCCAACTTCATATTTCAATGGAGGAATATTTTTATAAAATGCGCTAAAAATAGACTTTTTTAATTAATGAAGTTTTGTTGGGTTTGTTTTTTATATTGCGCATATAATTTGTGGATCTCGCAAAATATGCAATAAATATGCTGATGCAATTTTGTGCATTTTATAAAAATAAACTTTAAAAGTATGTCTGTAATTTTGCTTGTTGTGTAAATGTATTTTGTATTGTATAAAACTCGTCATAATAAAAGTGGGATAATTTGAGTAAGTAATTTTGCAATATTTTTCTCAGGTAAGTATCTGAAAATCTAAAATTCAAATCAAATAATCGATACTAAAGGGTTGGCATATATTTTCGTCGGAAGTACTAAATTAAATGTACAATTTTTTACAACATTTAATATTGGAAAGAATCCAAATATTTATAATTAATTTAATCCAGTTTGATGAGTTTTTTATTGGTTTTCAATCGAGTTTTGCTATTTTAAAAAGCTATTAATATACAATGTGTTAGGTATATAATTATCCAAATTTTAAAACAGTAATTGGTACGGTAACAGTCCCTTTTTAAGTTTTAAATCGTTTTATCTTATTTCCTATTGGTTGGCAGTGGCGGCTGGTGGATTTTGGGCACTCCCATATCTCAGTTATTAGTAGAGATGGGAAAATTCCCATTTGACGAAAATTCCCGGAAACTTTCCATCGAAAATTCCCGAAATTTTCCGAAAGTTTAAAAAAAAAATGTTTTTATTGCGAAAATATTTTTTTATGCCAAGGTTTTTTGTGATGATGCTGAATAATCCGGCTACATTGAGGTTATGTAACATAACTTACATTATTTATACTTCTTCTTCTGCCTTAAATTAGCACACATTAAATTCTTATTCAAAGTTTCTTGGCCTTGTATCATGGCCTTAACGAAAATTAGCGGTTAAACAATTGACATTTAAATGAAAAAAACAAGGAAAGTTTCCAAGGAATGTTTCCAAGGAATGTTTTCGGTTGCTTAAAAGAAACTTTCAAAATGAAAATAAATTCCCAATTGGAAACTTTCCAAAACGAAAGTTTCCTTAAAATGGAAACTTTCCAATTCCCATCTCTAGTTATTAGACATGGGACCCACATCAAATTATATGAGTTTTCAATGAGATTATATAGACAAGTTCTGCGCAAGCAGAATTTAAATTGAAGTTTGCGAAAAAAGTTTAAGTGTGCCCTCCAGCCTCCTGCCCCCCAAATTAAGATAATTTAAATTAAAGTGATACAATATTTAATTCACTGAAGTTTATCGATAAATTTCAAATTTTATTAAAAAATTTCAAGAAATACAGGTTTTATACCATTTTAAATTTTTATTATTTACTAAAAATTTAAAAAAAAAAGAAATGGTATAAAATCTGTAATACTTGAATTTTTTTAATAAAATTTAAAATTTGTCGATAAACTTCATTGAATTAAATATTGTACTACTTTAATTTGAATTATCTTAATTTGGGGGGCAGGAGGCTGGGGGGGCACACTTAAAAACTAACTTTTTTTCGAAAACTTCAATTTAAATTATGTTTGCGCAGAACTTGTCTATATAATGTCATTATAAACTCATATAAATTTGATGTGGGTCCCATGTCTAATAACTGAGATATGGGTGTGCCCAAAATCCACCAGCCGCCACTGTTGGTTGGACAAAAGAGTGGTAAAAAATGTGGAGCTTGAAACATATTTTGATTTTGTCCGACTAATACGAAACGAGATAAAATGATTAATTTTTTTCTTCCAGGCCATATCCAAAATCGTAATTTTTGTGATGTTAAAAAAATACAGATGTGTTCTAAATATTTCATTAAAAATTATTGAAGAATCGTTAGTGACGAAGTTTTAGAATTTTTAAGGCTATTATTATATAGACAATTTTTTGTTCAACAAAAAATGCCTCCTGATTTTTTTCCTGTTTGGCTTTGTTTAGGAGATTTTAATATTATTGCATCTTCTTAACCAAGTCAAAATTGAAAAAAAAAATGAGCATTTTTTCTTCTCCGGTGGCAAATTACCACTTATCACTAATTTTTCTAACACAGTGTATACATCATACATCTCGCTCACGTTTGTTCAATATGCCAGCTTTTAAGTAGAATGCCAGGTTGTACGAATGGGAATTTTTGAACGAACGTTTTGATAAAAATTCGCTTCCATCAAAAAAACAAACAAAAAATTCGTTTACTTGTTTTATTGAGGAATCGCCTTCCAGTTGGGAACTGGCTGAAATAATGGCAGATGGCGGGCCACCTGCCGGTTCAGAACTGAAGATGCAGAATCATAATCGAGCATTCCCAATCTCCAACGTCGAGGGTTTGTATGGATGCTCTCTTATATCTACAATCAATTGTTTTAACGGGTTGGAAAGGCTATTTTATTATTACTACTACTACATTGATTGTTATTGCAATGGCCTCATGTAATTTTTTATTTACAAGACTGTCTCCCCGCGAAATACAAAAACTACTCTAAAATTTATAATTCTGATAATAACTATAATTTTGGTGTGTTACAGTTTAAATGTATTTTTAAAATTAAAAAAATTACTCCAAACCATAAAATTTTCATGGTATGTGGCTGCCAATGGAACACTCGACCTAGTTTTTTGCCTCAAATTGTTCACATTTTTATTATTAATCTTGTATATATAACTTTAAATATTAAAAATATCAACAAAAAAAATTGTTTGAAATACATTTCTTAACAATATTGATAATAACCATTTTTATGTGGCATGCATATTTAAGGAGATAAACAAACTACCAAATTTGAGGCGGAAAAGTTAGGTGGAGTGTTCCATTGACTGACATTTTTTATTATAAAATATTCCATAATAAAATTATAAGTTATGGCTAGTTGATTGTTAATAAGAAAGGGAGAGAGAATGTTTCACTTAACTTAAGTGCATAAAAATTATATTGAGGCATTGTTATAAGAAAATAAATCCAGTTACAATAACCTAATTTTCAATTTCATTGAAAAAAAGTATATTTTAATTAATTATTAAATTTATACCAAAATGCTTAAGCATTAAGTCATACGCTCTACACATGCTTTCTTGTATACAATTGTTTTTTGTTCATTATTTTTATTTTTGATTTCATCTAACTGTACCTAACAATTTAACTAAAAAAGTCAGTTACTGTGGAAGAGAAATACATTTACGAAAAATTGTGGGGTTGTAAAATTCGTAGTTAAATTTTGTATGCGGATTGTTTCAGGAGTTATGCAGGCAACTTTGTGTAGCGGAGGAAAAATGGAAAAACGGTACAGTCCCAGTTTTAGAGACGAATCTTCCAGATCTAAAAGTGATAGGAAAAGAAAAAGAGAGGACGTTTTAAAGTAAGTTATTATCTTTTCAATTCAACACTTTTAAAAACATTTTAATTTTAGTTTCATAAAATAAATTTCACACAAAGGAAATTTATTCTTTGTGATTCCCGCAATTTCAAAAATACCTTTTTATTGAAACAACCATGACATGTTTATTAATTGATATAAATTCCAAATGAAATCCAATGTTTTAGCTTGTCCGTAATATTTTTAGTTTTCAATGGTGTGTATAGAAAGAATTGGAATCAAACCAAAAATTCGACAAACAAAAATGTGTCCTCTTTATATTCATCAATTTAACAAACATTATGCAATAACCTGGTATCTTGATCTTGACCGTACCAAAATTACGTTTATTTTTAGAATGAGAATTCATCATACAGGACACCCCAAGGACGTAATCAAAAGTATTTCGCAATCGGACAATACAAATAAGCAATACTTCCTCATGTTGGAAAACATCACGTCTCACTACACACATCCGTGCATTTTGGACTTGAAAATGGGCACCAGGCAGCATGGAGACGACGCGTCAGCAGAAAAAAGATCCAAACAGATGGCCAAATGTGCCGCCAGCACGTCAGCTTCGCTAGGAGTCAGATTGTGTGGGATGCAGGTAAGAAAAAGTGCACTGGAATCTATCAATATGTGGCCCATGTCAGAATTAATACAATTTTGTGGTCTATGCCAAAAAATGGCATATGCCAGAAAAAAATTGTGGCATATGCCAGAAAAAAATGTGGCATATGCCAGAAAAAATAAATTTTTGTTGCATGATTTGTAAAAAAGTGTGATTTTTAATTAAACATAAAAAACTATCTGTTTTTTTTTAGGTTTACCAGGCGGAATCCGACATTTATCTTAAGAAAGACAAGTATTGGGGTAGAGAGTTAAACGAAGACGGCTTCAAAAACGCTCTATGCCGATTTTTTGACAACGGATTCGGTCTACGAGTATCAGTTATAAGAAAGGTTATATCGAAACTAGAACAGCTTAGACGAGTAATAGAAAGACAAAGCTGCTACAGATTCTATTCCTGGTAAGTAAATTTTACATTTATGTCATTTGAGACCATCATGAAAGCATCATTTGTATCTGTGATTCATTGCTTTATAAATAAATAAATATAATACTAATAGGTAAGTAAATGTTAAGGTTAATAATGATTATCTACAAATTTTACAGTTTTTTTGTTTATCATTAAATGCTGTACTTTTTAGATACCTATCATGAATTTTCAGAATTATTTTTTCCAAATTTAAGAAACTTATAACTCAAATTTGTTTATTTCAACAAGAGGGACGTCCCTTTTGCCTTTCCGCATCTCATTTTATGTTTTTTTTAAATTGTCATTTTATTCATTTTTTTATAACATCCATTGTGTTCTATGAACAAATTTTATTGCAATTTTCTCTGCTTTTTTAGTTCATTACTAATAGTATACGAAGGCGACGGTGGCATTCCCCTGTTGACGGTTACAAAACCGGACTCGTGCTGTTCGAGCACGCTGGATCCGATCTTTTGCGAGAACGACTGCACGCGGGCTTCTGAGGACAACAGCCGCGAGATGGCGTGCTGCTACGACGCCGACACCAGCAACTCTTCCATTGATTTCAATTCCAGCCACGACGAGGTGTCGCAGGATTCCCATCATCGAGGTTTTGGCGAAGCCGCTGCCAGAGGTGAGATAACTTTCATATGTTTACTAAATGTCATTTTTAATGTATCAACAACAAAAATTACAGACCCTGGCCAATTTATTAGACTAGATATTTGTAAAATATCTAGTCTTCTTACTAAAATCCGTTTGTGTGCTACAAGTCGTTTTATGGATAGAATTGCGTTGAAAACGCTTTAGGACAAATTTTTACAATAAAATTTAAAAATTAAAAAAGTATACATTATAATGGTACAAAAATTACTAAAATACTTACATTATGTTATAAAATTATTACTTTTCACAAAAACGGCTTTTTGCATTTTGTAATAAAAGTCTTTTCTGAAAAATTTTAATGTCATAACAGAATTAGGATTTTAAAATTTCCGGAAAAATTGAGCAGTCGGAAAAAAAACATTTTCTGGATAAAACGGAAAAATTGATTTTAACATTTTTTCATTTTATTTATGGTAATACTAAATGCATGAGTATTTTTTTCTGAAAATTTTCGGATAATATCCGTACACTGATACCGAGAAAAAAGTGAATTTCCGCCGGGTTTTTCGACACATTAAAACCCTAAACATAATTTGAGTATTTTGGTAATTTTCAATCATTTGATTAATTTAAACTTCATCTTAAAATTGTCCTAAAAAGAGTTTTAAACGTGTTTTATTCATAAAATCACTTTTTTATTCAAAAATGCATTTTTATCAGAAGATGTTGACTACAAATTCCCAAAATTAAAGAAAATTTGCGAATGGGTCTAATCAATTGGCCAGGGACTGTACATTCTAAAATAATGTATGTTAGATTAATTAAAAACAAAAAAAAAACTAAAAAAAAACACTATTTTTTACGAGGTATACAAAATATCCCATATAATATTTAAAAGCAAAAAAATACAAAATAAAAAGTTATTAATCTATTTTTTTCACAAAATCCTTCTAAATTTCGAAATTGGAATAAATTGCTATTGTCCAATACCAAAAACTTATTAAAATGAATCATGAACGCATAGCGTGTAATATGCGCATTAAATTGTTAAAAAGTAACCTAATTATGTGATAAGACCATCAGGATTTCTTAGAAGAGATAAAAATCAATACACATATATTAATATAAACTTTATATTATAAATGAAATTATTTATTGTATAATACTATTAATATATACTGTATATATATTAAAATATTTTTTAGACAGATTTGTTTTTTAACTGAGTAATATTTTTTATTTTATTTGTTACTTTTATAATAAAAATAATAATAGAAATTTAATATTCTAAATTTAATATTCTAAAAGTTGCTTAAATATACGTGTTTAAAAAAAACTCAACCATTTTTTATAAAAAGGTCTTCTCCACGGACCACCTGTCTGTGCTCTTCTCATTTCTTATCCCCTTTGCAATATTTAAAACAAAATTGTAGCTTTTGAAATTTCCTATAAAATGACAATTTACTATAAATTAATTTGCTCCAGTGTAGGCTGGACAATCTACAACATATTGACGTTACTTTAAAAATAACATTTCAGCCTTACATAAAATGTTATTATAATATAATATATTATAATTTATTGGTGACAAATTAAAAATATGTCTAATAAAAGCGCAATTTAATAGGATTTACTTACTTTTTTGTTAATACATTGTTGCATAATTTAAAAAAACACTCGAATGTGATATCGACGCGCCCGCGAAACAGAGCTCGCGACTTCGAGCGTAAATTGTCCAGTCCCACACTAGACCAATTTAATTAGGTTAAATATTCAATTTTTAGAACATTTTTAGATCTACAAAATTTCAAGAGAGAATGTTCTAAAAAAACCTCAAAAAGGGCTAAGAAGGGAGAAAGTCAATTTTAAAAAAGTTGCGTTAACAACAAAATAAGTTTTATACGAGGTTTTATAAAAAATGTAGTTATTGAAATTGCCTATATATTAAAAAGTTTGTTGGCCTGTGTGCGATAAACGGTTCGTAAGTTATTAAAATCAAAAAATGGGGACGCGGAGATCAATCCGAAAACCAGAATAAATACGAATCAATTTTGCTTTTTCGATTAATAAAATAAAATTTCAACTGGTATAAAAGTATTGGGTCAACATCCGCTTTTACTGGACTATAAATCCTTTGTTAAAAAGATTACACACAATGTCGTTTCAGTAGGACATGGCAACTTGTCACATGCCCAGAATATCCCTAGATTTTTTAAGGCAAATGATTTTTGGCTTTGGGGATACTTGAAAAGTAGGGTGTATACGAATAACCCTCCAAATGTAGAACCCTGAAGGAGAACATCAGGAGACAAATAAGTGCCATTTCGTAGGAAATGTTACGAAACGTGATGGGAAATGTCCAGCCTCGAAGTAATCTTCAAAACATGAGCATCTGTTTGTGTTAATCATAACTCCTTAATTCGCTTTTTTACACTTTACATTGAGGGCATTTTTTTCACCCTGTATATATTTTTTTGTAAAATATTGTTACAAAACATTTTGAGTTTTTCTTTCAAATGAGACCACATCAAAGATTCACGCTTGTTCCACTGCTGAGAAATTACGCACCCTTTACTTACTAAAACAATTTAAATTTTAACCAACATCTTTTTATTACTATAATTACTACTCCATTTATTTTCCATACAATTTCGAACACTACAAAATCTGATTTTAAAGGACTACTTAATCTCAAAAAAGTTCGTATTTCAAATGAAACAGTTTGAATAGTAGTAAACCATAAGTAGTAGTAGTAGTATATTTTGGAAATTTTAAATATTTTTACCCACCCTATCTACTACTCGTCAAACTCTTTCATTAATTACTCATGGCAAGGAGAAATAGGCAATCAGTCTTAAGGCGGCCGCCATATTGGATTGAGTTATTTTTACCTCTCTTATATTTATGCGCAGCCACTAATGCAAATATGATTCCTTCTACGTTATATTCAAGCGTCCCCACTTCAATAATATTGATTTTCGCACGCACTACATGGCTTAGGAGTTACACTCAATTTTCCCCGGTCCATAACATAAATTTTTACCCATCAACACATTTTAATGTGACCTTTTAAACAGGTATGTTATTGTTTTTTTCAGGTGCAAAATCCAGCACCTTCTACCCCATATCCGAAGAGACCGTATTCCTCGACTCCCCTCCAACCGTCCCCAGCATAACGACCAGCAGTCCGGTCGACAGCTGGATGATGTTTTCGAATAGCAGCTCGGACGAGTATTCGCTTTCCGGGCACCTGAACGGCGGCGCCAGCTCGAACGACGAGGCGTCCGACTTCGAGCCTTCGTCGCCGCACAAAAACAAACGCAACTGCACGGTGCAGTTTTCGGAGTTGGAGCTCGAAGACGAGGAGGACGAGGAGTTGAGTCCGACCATATCGCACAAGAGCATCACCAAGAGGTTGTGCGTCAAGGATATGCCGTCTGGATCAAGGTATGAAAAATAATTTATAATAATAATATAATAAACTTTATTAACGAATATACCTACACTAAATAACTACATTAGGATTGGAATTGGTATTCATTTTTTGATTACATTGTTTTTTTAAATATTTCCAATAAGCAATCAATCAAGTTTGTTTGCATCATAGCATATTCTGTTTATTGGCATGAATTTAGAATATTCGGTTCTATAGAACCGAATATTCTAAGTTATATGTTTTTATGTGAAATAATAATATATTTCGCGTCCGTCTCATCCGGAGATTAAAATTAATCTGCGCTGATAAGTCAGAGCAATTAATAAAATAATTCCATGTTCTGTTCTTATACGACTTAATAAATTTAGTTGTATTGTATTTCTTACCAATTCTAAGCTATATTTACATTCAATATTTAATTTAAATTCACAATATCGCAAAAACTTCTTTTGAACTTTTTTAATTCTTACAGAATTAACATAAAAAGGGGACCAAATTAAACAACAATACTCTTAAATGTACCTACATGGGACAGTTTTAATATATTGAATATTAAAATCTTTCATACTCCTTTTAACAAATCCCAGCATTCTTAAAGCCTTATTTATAATAAAATTAACATGGTAGCCAAATGTCACCTTAATATCGAAGTAAACACCTAAATCTTTTATAAAACCACGTTTTCTAAAATAATATTATTTAATGTATACAGTGTGACCCATTTGTTTGCGACTCACCCCTGTAAAATCTTTATTTATTGTGCGATTTTAACCAGATTTGTTTTAAAGTGTAGATCTTGATAACCTGTATTTTTGGAGCAAAAGACGCCATATTAGTACAAAATACAAGGCCTACCATGTCGTTTTTTAAGAGTTAATTTAAAAAAAATAATATCAGCGATTTTTTTTAAACAAAATCTAAGCACGGCACTGGATTCACCACCTTAAAACGAACCTTTACTAAATTTTTCAATAAAATGCACAATACCTAATAACTACAAAAATTTATTCTGTCATGAAAACAACATTGAAATAAAATTAAACTTATAGTAATAGTACCATGTTAATATTAATTTAATTTTATTTCAATGTTTTTTCATGAATAACTTGACAAAATAAATTTTTGTAGTTATTATTGTGCATTTTTTTTCTTAAAATTTTTCAATAATAGTTATTTATGTCATTAGGTTAAGAAGTAAGGCTTTTTGTGCTAAGCTCAAGGTTTGAAGGCCGACGCGTAGCGGAGGCCTACAATTGAGCGAAGCACAAAAAAGCACTTCTTGGCCGAATGGCATACAACATTTTATCTTCAAAGCACTTTATATAGGTCAATTTAATTCAACATCAAATCGGCACAACCTCACTTTTTTAGAATCTCATTTATTTATTATAATAGCTATAGCTATAGCTAAAGATTACATTAAATGTACAATAATTATTATTGCTTTTAGAAGCAGTAATAGTTTGACAATACTTAGCTACATGATTTAAGTAGAAATGGATTTTTGCTATTACATTGAATTCAATTAATTGTTTAATAAATATGTATGTAGGTATTTAATTTCAATTTGTTTGGATTTTTATTTAAAAAATAGGTAGTTTGGAATGTTTAAACTGTGTTTAACATTTAATTTCACTGGAAACTTAAAGCAAATTAATACTTAAAGATAATTTAAATCGTAGAAAAAGAATCGTGCGTTTTCTTGGTTGCCTAACCTCACTTTTTGTGTTATTATTCATATTTAATTTTACAATAATTTCATGAAAAATATTAAACATTAACAGTAAAACAAACAAATTAGTGCTTATTAAAAATAAATTAAACCAGTTTAGTAGGTACGTTGATTTCTTAGAAAAGGATTAATTTGTCAAAACAACAACTTTTTTGACAACAAAACAACCATAACATATATTTTATGGTTGTTTTGTTGTCAAAAAAGTTGACAAAAAATGTTTAAATTTAGCTTAATTACAAAAATGACAAAATTAACAATACAATTTGGCGTTTTTATTAATTGTCGGTTATGTCATATGACATAACAGACATGACAGAATCTAGTGCATTTCTTTCAAATTTTGGGTTATGTGCTCAAATTGTAAATATCTTAACTAAGGGAAGTGCTTTTGGATTTATTTACACAAATTAAATGTTTAAAGTTTAACCTGTGAACTGGTCCCAATTTCATCTGAGTAAACAGAAAGAAAAAAACCGATGAAAAAATTAATTTTGTGGTTATAGATTTTTTAAAATAGGTACTAAATTTTCTAATCATTGCTTAAGCTGGATGAGTAAATAAATACAGAATGTTAGAGCTTTAAGGGCATAAAACTTTTGTATTTATTGAGTTTTTATTTATTTTTTGCAAGAAAAATTTTTAGTAACAATTTTTTACATCTGGCAACGCGCAAGCTACTTTGTTGGTTGATATCTATGTACTCACAGAAAACAAGTGTGTAACCAGTGCCGTATCACAAAAAATATAAAAAACTTCTAATGCATATTGTTTCTTTATCTTTGGAAAAATATTTTTTTAAATATTTTTCCTTTACTCCTTATGTCAAAAGGTATTCAGTATTTTAATTTATAACATTAATTACATTACTGTATAATAAATTCCCTACATTTTTTTTATAAAAAAAGTTTGTGATTTGTCCCGTCCGTCCGCTTGAAATGGCCGAGAAGTCAGTATACTGACTATATACAGGGTGTATTAAAACGAATAGATACACTTAAATAAAACAAGTGCCAAACCCCGCCCACTGTGGTTGGGATTGGATTTTAGAATTATTTTTGTTTGAGAATTTATAGGTTTTATTTTTATCGAATTCGTTTGTTTTGTTTTAATGCATTTCTGCAAATAAAAACTAAGTATTGTTTAAAATCCATTAAATTCCAGTTAATGGCGAAAATTTATTTCTTAAAAACTATACACATTTCCCTACGACAGCGTCAAACACAGTAGATCAAACTGCATGTCCTTGTATCTGGCTGCATGCCGCGCTGTTGCCATATGCTATTATTGTTTCCTAAAAGGGTTGTTTTTCTTATTTTTTAATATTAAAAGTAAGAAAGTTAACCAAATCAAATTATTTTTGACATATTATTAATTTTTTTCTTATTTTTAAAGTTTCAAACAAATAAAATTGAACTATTTATTAAATAATTATAATCGTTCTCTTCTGATTTAAAACAACCTGGCAACTATGGTTCCTAATTACGAATGGCTTGGTTTAAACCACGCCCAATTAAAGTTTGTTTCTTTATCTCTGATCAGAATATAATTTGTCATCCTTGTCTCCAGCCTTACTTACTTCATTCTATACAGTCTGTACAGATATAATCTATTTAGCTTCGTTTCTTAATTAAGTAATTTATTTTTAACATGGTTCCTTTATTTCAGACGATCCAGAACCCCAGCCCCGGCGAACGTGGACGTGCGCATGATCGACTTCGCGCACACGTCGTTCGTCACGAAATCGTCCGAATCCAGCTCGAGCGCCGCCGCAGTGCACCAGGGACCCGACGGCGGCTTCCTCACCGGCTTGGACAGTCTCAAACGTCTCCTGTCGCAGATTTTGGCCGAAGGTTAGACGGGTGCGACGCGAAAACCGCGGAGATTGACGGAGACGACGGAGGCTGCTTACTTTTGGATCTCAGAAATATGCGCTGGGCGTTCGGGCGGCCCTGTGAGTTGTTTATGGGGAACATCCTGTAAGTTTGCAAATGTCGCCTCTAGTAGGCCTAGAATGGGCTGAATTTGGGTAGTTACAGGTAACATCTATTTTTTCTTGGTGTATTTGCAAATTTACCCCTTGCACGCCCTTGCAATGTCAGCTACCTATCTCATACAGATTGAGTGTATTACTATAATAGGTCCTCAAATCAAACATGATTGTGATGCTGCCATTTGTATATAAACCTATTATTTCTACTTTTATTAATAAATAGTTATATTATATTATTATATTTTGACAAAATTGTTTATTTTGATATAATTTTATTAATATGTTGTTATTTTATATGTGACAAATTGTAAATAGTTTTAACTGTATGAGAAGTATTTGTTTAATTGCAACAGTATTTGTGTACAAATGTAGCTAACTTAAAGTTACAATAACAGAAAAACCTATTTTCTTATTCCTTATAGAAAATTCTTTATTTAAAATCTGTGATTTTGTTTGTTTGTATGTATAGTTTTTTATGAAACATTTTTGGAGTAAAAGATTATAAGTATGGAAGTTAATAATTTCTAGACATTCCAGTATTTGAAAAATTAATTATAGAAGTGCAATAGTAACTTATGGGTATATGAGGTAATAAACTTTTTGGTATCGCAATTATATTAAACGTTTTTAATGATATTTACATGCAAATTGTGCTTTTTATCTTAAAAATTGTTGAAGCAGTTAAAAAGATTTAATATAGTGATACCATGCATTTGGTAATATCATCAAAGAAACTTTTTTCATACATTTAATTGCAGGACTCTGCCTGCTTTTAAGAATTTTTGGCAATTGTTACTATTTTGGATTCATGTGAACCTACTTTTTTGTAATGGCTGAGGCCCAAACAAACATGAATATGGCAGAAATATGTATATAACATGTTAATATTATATAATTAAAAAATAGAACTATAACATAACATTTGTTATGAGAAACATTATTTTAGGTGTTTGCTTGTAAATAGTAACTTTTATTTCTTATATTTGTCAATATGTATGAAAAAGGCCAAATCATTATTCCCAATATGGGACCATTTGATTCTCAGAAAATATTTTAAGATGTACAAACTATTGGAGATGTTTAGGAATTTGATTGAATTGTGTTTCCTGTTCAACTTGTACCTATTATTAATAAAAGTTAATCAAAATAAATACTGTTTTATTTAAAACCTCTGAAATATTTTTTTAGAGAAATTTTATAATTAATAAACAATAATGAATTACATTTTTATATGTAGTTTAAATAGAAAACATGACATTTACCAAAATAAGGGTTTTAAAATTTTCGGAAAAATTAAGCCTCCGGAAAAAAACGTTTTTTTCCTGAAAAAAGGATAAATTTAGAATTTTTTTATTTTATTCAAAGGTTAATACTAAAAAATGCATAAGTCAATTTTTTTTTCAAATTTTTACGGATAACATCCTGATATAAAAAAAAGTGTATTTCCGACTCTGATTAAAATCATTATTATATTATGATTATAATAACTATTTCTACTATTTTAATTGGTTAAGAATATTCAACCAGGCCGTAAAAAAACGTTCAATGCTGTATTAACATAATTATCGTTTTATTTGACACCAAAATATTAAATTAAAATTTTGTAATTAAACTTAATAAATCATTCATTATTTTGTAAATGTAACTTAAATCAATTAAATTCAATTAATTTTTTTTCTGTGATAAAGGATTTTTTTTTAATTAAAATTATGTTAAGTTTGATTGCTACTTTTATTAAAATGTGTAAATTTTATAAAAAGAACAGTTTTCCCCCAATTTTTTCGTTTTTTTTTTTTAATTTTAAACTCTTACCAAAATGTACCTATTATACATTTCTAATCATCATTGTAAAGTTCTGTAGACAATATCTATGGGCCAAAGTAAACTCTGTTTCAACTAAAATATTTATTTATAAAACATATATTTTCTTTTGGTATAAATATAGCGGATAAATAATAATTCCTAATAATAAAAAACAATAACCTTTAGCACACATACACAACGCCTTCTATTATCTAAACTTAAGTACTAGATATAAAACAAAGAACACAAATATAGAGAACAAAAACATGTAAATAATGTAATAGTTATGTCCCCCCCTTGTTAGTCGCATCACTCGATTCATGGTATTCCCAAGGAACCCCCCAGTCCTTTCCAAGTCGTCGTCGACATCGTTAAGCAGTTTATCTTGGTACCTCACCTCATTGCCGATGTCTATCGATAGAGATTTCAGAACGCCAATTTTGTCTTTTAACTCATTAGTCATTCGATCATTTTCGTCCTCGATCTCGTTAGAATTTTGCGATAACGGCTCATAACCATAGCCAGCATGAGCTCGTCTCATTGTACTGGATGCCACGATTACAAATATACCACGAACTCACTTTATAAACAAAATTTTCGCAATATTGCTGAAAGTTGACGTGTACTTTTAGGTTATAATGTCAACAGCTGTTTTCAACAGGTTGGCCAACGTAGAATGTTGGTCACACTGATTGTCTATTTAACGGTAGCTAACTTCGCGCAGTCTCACACGCTTGTTTTTATTTATTTTTTAGATAGCATGTGCATTGTAGTGAAAGTGAAAGTTAGTGAATTTGTTTAAATTTTAAAGAAATGCAACAGTAGAATTATTTACGGTAAGTTTTTGTTAGAAATGTAAGATGTAATGATTTCTTGGGGTGAATGCTTCCAAATTCGAACAGAAAAAGACGATCGGCAATCACACATCTTCTTGAATAGAGCTAAAAAGTGCTATTTTTGAATTATATGGATTATATGGATTAGCTTAACTATTCTTGGGCCATAAAAATTGGTTATGATTTATAACCAATTTTTATGACTCAGGTCACGATTTATGGGCCTTTATTGTAGGGCTAATGATGGGGAAATACCTATGTGATTTATTAAGGTGACCAACTGTTTTTTTTAGAAAAAGAGGTGTTGCCCTATTTTTGCCTGTTTTATGTTTTTAATATTTACTCTCAATTGAGTTTAAAAACATTTATTTTATATAAGGGTCGTTTGAGGTCGTTCCACGCCAAATCGGCCACTTTTGAACCCGACCCCTTTCGATTTGGCTGAAATTATGTTATATTTTTTCACCCCAATAAAAATTTTTCTTGGAATTTTTTAGTTTTTTTCACCCGACCAAAAACATGTTAAACATTTTTCAAAAAATGTCTTTTTTCCCAAACTTTTTTGTAAGTATTTTTTTCTAAAAAGTTTATTTAAAACCAAAAAAAAACCGCCCCATTTAGTCAATTTTGACAAAGTTATGTGTATTTTAAAAGAAAATTGGCAATTTTTTTGAAAATTCGTAACTTTTTTGGTTGGGTAAAAAAATTGGAAAAATTCTGAGAAACTTTTTTAGTGGGGTAAAAAAAATTTAAAAAGTTCAGTAAAATCGAAAGGGATTGAGTCAAAAGTGGTCGATTTGGCGTGGAATTCCTCATATTTATATATGAATATAGGTATAATTATTATGAAATTTGTGTTTTTAGCCTATAAGCTATAGTTAATTTTATATGGTAACCTAAATCAGAACAGACCAGAACCAAAATAGGAAAATCAGAACCTTTACTTCCTTCGATTTCCTGTCAGAATGAAGACATCAAAAACAGTATAGTTCTGATTAAATTAGAACAGTTGGTCACCTTAGATTTATTGTTGATTTTTATATAAAAAACAACCCTTAATGTCATTTATCAATTTTGTAAAAAAGTATTTACCTAGGATGTTTAAATCTACAACCAAAATATTTTATCCCTATAAAATGTTTTATTTTAATTAACAAATTTATACTTAATCACAAGTTAAAGTACCTACCTATTATTAAAAACTAAAAAAAACATACAGTAAATTTATTTACTTATACCTAAGGAATTTCTTGTTATGGCCAATTTAAGGTTTAAAACTGTAATATTTTGGTTAATTTGTTGATATAATGGCAAAATTAAGGTTTAAAACTGTCAGTTTTTGTTTGTGTTTCTTAAGTTTGCAGCACTACTTAAATTTAAAATGAAAATTTAAAAAAGTGGTAAAAAAGTGTTATTTTCCATAGATTTCCCATAGATTATTTAAAAAATTCGTTTTCCAACTTAAGAAACAAAATAGTAGGTATAATGTTTAAAAATTGAAGATTTAGTTTACTCTTTATGGAAATCTCATAATTATTAATTATTATTAAGGGAGCTCGTGAGATACAAAATAAAAAAATGGCGTAAGAAAACAAATTTAAGTTTAAACATTATTTTCTTGGAATCTGTATTTCTCCATATTAAAATGGCTTTACCTTAATAAAATCCATTTGGACGTGCTCCGAAAATGGGGCTTTAACACCATAGGAACCATAATTAATAATAATAATAATAATAACGGAAATACTTAAACGCTCCTTTACTTTAGTTTCTGCAATTAGATATAAAAATAAAAATAAGATAAACAATTTTAATTTTTATATACCTAACTGTTTGTAGCGCTGTAATAATAAACTGTTATTTTAAATTATGTGTATGTATGAAGCAAGAGTATCATTCGGCAAGTTCCTATAGAAACTAAAATCAATGTTTACGAAGAATGTTTAACTTCCTAGTAAAAGTGGAGCACAGAAACACATTGTTCCACAAAATTTTTATTTAAAAACGGCCTAGAATAACTAAATGCAATGTAAACTGGCAGCGATATCTCCTACGATACTCGCTGCTTGCTGATACTTATTCCTTTGTGTTCGCTGCCAAAAGCAAACACCAGGGACTGCATTAAACGTTTTTAGATTTAGAGCTCGGTTTCCGGTTTTTCGTGTAAACATTACGAAACCACCGAGTTTTGTTAATGTTAACCCAGATCGACCTAAATGCAGTTTT